TGCACATTATAGTAATTACATAAGTGCCTTGCCTCTGATGGTTAAGTACTGCCACTTGGCCTCTCACATCCCAGAATTCTGTAAAAAGGATGTTCAGCTTTGTCTGCTCACACCAGCCTGCATAGGAATCCACTACTGTACTTCACAAAGACATGAAGTGTGCATCCCCCAACCATCTTCCAAAACCACCAATGTGTTTCTTATGGATTTAAAATAGAGAATTTGATAGAAGAACCTAAGGAGAAAAAGTAGATTGTGAGGTGATAAGTTCTCTGGTTTTACATATTAAATTCATTATAACATTTCGACTTCTCTGAACCTTTGACTTCTTCATTGCTCTACTATGGAAAATTTAAAAAAAATGAAAGCTCGCCTCATTTACTGTAGGTAACCATTTTGTAAAAACTTCAAGGAGATTGTCTCAGCAGGGTCTTATAATTTGTTTGTTCCAGGTGTCCTTGCAGGTCACTGAACCCTGATCAAGGATGATTGTTCTCAAGTTATTAAATTATTTTCAGTCTTATATTATTCCTTTTCTAGTCAAATATATTTCCTCTAGCTCTTGTCAGTACACATTAGCTAGGTCTTACATTTTCTTTGGAATGTTTGCTATTTCCAGTTGAGCAAGGGTTCACACCTTCCTGCTCAGGTTGTGCTGATGCTGATCTTGTTTCATAGAAGATAGACACTACGTGATGTAGAGAGGCAGTTATTCGAAAGAATAAACAGCAACTCGTGAGGAATCTGCTTCAGGTGAGGTATCTGCAGTGTCTCCAAAGAGAGGGGAACTATCCACCCCCCACAGATAGTATAGGAAGTTGCAAGTGACAACCCAAAAAGTCAGTGGTTCAAGGAAATACGAAGTTTTAGGATTTTCAGGATGGTCTACACAAAGTACTCACCACAGATTTCAGATTTTTAATGCCTTTCTATGAAAACATTACCTTTAAAATTGGAAACCTATTGAATAAATAAATACTACATATATTTTTAATTGTATTATAGGAATGTGTGTTACAAGTCAAGATTAGTTACACAAGTAGGCTGCATGCAGGTGAAGTTTGGGCCTCCAACTGGTCCTCATTTCCCCTGGTTTAGGACCAGGTACCTTTTATGTTGTTAGTTGCCCACTCCACTCCCCGGCAATGTCCAGCAACTGCCGATCCCACCCTGTGCTAATGTGATTAATGTTCAGGTCCCATTTATGAATGAGAGCATGCGGTATTCAGTTCTTTGTTTCTGTGATAGATCACTAAGTATGATGGGTCTCCAACTCCATCCAATTTGCTACTAAGTCCATGATTTTGTTCTTCTTTGTGGCTGAGTATTACTCCATCGTGTATATATACCACATTTTTTTAATCCATTTCACTTTTGATGGGCAGTAGAGTTGGTTCCATGTTTTTACTATTGTGAATCGTCTAGCTATAAACATAAGAGCAGGTGTCTTTTGTACAACGATTTATGTTTCTCTGGCTATATTCCCAGGAGATGAATTGCAAAAAATATGATTTTCGTTATTTTAGGAATTGCCACACTGCTTTCCATAGAAGTTGAACTAGCTTGTACTCCTACCAACGGTATAGAAGTGCTTCCTTTTCCATGAAGCCAGCATCTGTTGTTTTTTGATTTATTAACGATGGCCATCCTTACTGGAGTTATGTGATACCTCGTTGTTGCTTTGATTTGCATTTCTCTGATGATTAGTGAGACTGAGCATTTTTTCATGTATCTGTAAGCTGCTTATATAGTTTCATTCAAAAGGTGTCTATTCGCATTCTTTGCCCACTTCTTCATGGGGTTTTGCTTGTTTGTTTTGCTTTCAGCACATTTGAGTTCCTTGTACAATTCTATTCACAATAGTCACACACAAAGAAATACTTTTATACTCACCTAACCAGAGAACTGAAAATTCTTTACAATGAGAACTACAAAATGCTGCTCAAAGAAATCAGGGATGACACAAACAAATGGAAAAGCATTCCATGCTCATGGATTAGAAGAATCAATATTGTCAAGATGTCCATCCTACCCAAAGTAATCTACAACTTCAATGCAATATTCATCAAATTACTAACCTGGAAATGACAATACAAAAATTCATATGGAAACAAAAAAGAGCACAAATAGCCAAAACAATCCTTAGCAAAAGGAACAGAGTGGGAAGTATCACAGAAGCAAAAACTCGATCTCTCAATCAACTCATCTTCGACAAAGCCATCAATAACAACCACTGGGGAGAGGAGATCCTATTTAGCAAATGGTGCTGGGAAAACTGGCTGATCACATGCAGAAGAATGAAACTGGATCCCTACTTACCACCATATACAAAAATCAACTCTAAATGGATAAAAGACCTAAACATAAAACCTCAAACCATAAGAACCCTAGTAGAAAACGTAGGAAACACACTTATGCACATTGGAGTAGGCAACCAATTCTTGATCAAATTCCCAAAAGCAAATGCCATAAAAGCTAAGATAGACAAATGGAACCTCATCAAATTGAACAATTTTGCATAGCAAAAGAGACCATCTAAAAGGTGGGCAGACAACCCACAGTATAAAAAAAAATATTTGCTAACCATGTATCTGACAAAGGCCTAACATCCAGGATCTACAAGAAATAAATACTGTCTTTGTGCAGCTTTCTCTTTCTTATACTTAGATCCTAAGTGTGATTTTCAGCATAGTATGACCTGTGATTACAAGATGTAAGGCTCCCCCTAAATATCATCACAGTAGAAACGTTCACTTTCATAATGTCCCTTGAGTTGATAGTAGTTGATCTGCACCTATCATTTTATTTTTCAATATCATTGTCTTCATATACATTTAACATGCCAAAGGTTCTATTTATTCTACCAGATAACATTCTGTGGGTACCTCATCGTACCATAAGTAAGAATCTTAATCATTTCAATGCTACTACATGTCATGGGTTATCACCACTTCACAATACACCAGAAATAGGATCCTTTTTTGACTAAAGACCTGTTAATAATCTAGCTCCAAAATCCCATCCTGGGACTCAATTTTTGATATCACTTCAAGTAGTGTAAACCAAGTAGTTTAACCTATATATTTTTGAAAAATAAAGCCTGAGACAAGGCAAGGCTAAAAGGCACAGGGAGTGGAACAAGGGGAAAAGGAAAATAAATATAAATACAAAGGTATTACAGAATACTGATGTTCAATCCCAATAGGACATCGTGAGGTGGCTTATAAAACGCATCTCTCTCGACTATTTGCTGGGGGTTCCAGTCATCCTTTGTCTAAAGGTGTCTCTGTAGATATTAACTTCTCTGCATTTTGGCATTGGTGAATTCTTGTGTTAGGAAGTTAGCAGTCCATTATATACGGTTAGGGAAAGATAATGTCTAGGTTCAGTAGAATAAAGCTGGTGGAAGCCTGTTTATAGGTGGTCACTGCAGCAAAGGGTGGGCTAAGAAGTGAGGCCAAGAGAATTTGTTGTAATGTGTAAGACATATCTGAGAAAATCCACATTTTTCATATATTTTTAACTGCCTATGGAATCAATGCTCTTCATGTACATTAGGAAACGTTAGTATAAATACTACATATGGACATTCGAAAGAAATACTATATTAGTTATTTTCTTCTCTTTTTTATTTGGCATATAATTGTACACAAACCTGAAACTCACAGGCCATAAGAGATAAGACAGACAAGTGGGGCCTCATTAAACTGACAAGCTTCTGCAAAGCCAAACAAACCATCAAGAGAGCAGGGAGACAGCGCACAGACTTGGAAAAAGTATTTGCCAACTCCAGGTTCGACAAAGGCTTAACATCTTAGATCCACAAGGAACTCAAGCGTACTGAAAAGAGAAAAACAAACAACCCCATTATAAAGTGGGCAAAAGATATGAACAGACACTTCTCAAAGGAAGATATCTGAGCAGCCAACAGACACATGAAGAAATGTTCAACTTCACTAATCATCAAGGAGATGCCAATCAAAACCACACTGAGATACCACCTAACTCCAATCAAAATGGCAATTAACAAAAACTCAAAAAATAACAGTTGCTGGAGAGGGTCTGGTGAAAAGGGAACACTTCTATACTGTTAGTGGGAGTGCAAACTAGTGCAACCTCTGTGGAAAACAGTGTGGCGATTCCCAAAAGCTCTAAATATCGACCTGCCATATGATATGAGCTGCCACAATCTCCCTACTGGGAATATACCCTGAAGAACTCAAATCACTCTATAAAAAAGACACCTGCACATGTATGTTTATCGTAGCGTTATTCACAATAGCAAGAACCTGGAAGCAACCACGCTGTCCATCAAAAGAGGACTGGATTTTTAAAATGCGGTACATATACACGATGGAATGCCACACAGCCATAAAAAAGAACAAAATCATGAATTTCGCAGCAACCTGAATAAAACTAGAGTCTGTAATACTGAGTGACCTCTCACAGAAACAACGATCTGAGTATCACATGTTCTCACTCAGATCGTGGACCTTGAACACCCATCATAATACTAGAGGAAAAGGACTG